ATATAACCAGCGTGTCGGCTCTCTGTCAGGTTTTGGTACTCAGCACATACACAAGACGCTCCGCATTATAAGGCGTGCGGTCCACTTTGGAGAAAATTTTAGACTTTTAATGGCGCCTTATAGGTGTGAAAATACGGTATTTATTTTAATGACAAGTTACAGAATGGTGATGCATCCACTGCCCAACAAAATATCTATATTTTTTAAACCAGAACAAATGTAATATTTTTGTATGAGCAAAAAATTGAGATAAAACAACAACAACAAAAATCACAAAATTTTGAGCTCCTCGCGCTGTTTAAAAAAATTTACTTTGGGGAAAAAAAAGAAATAAATATTGCTCTCTCTCTCTCTCTCTCTCTCTCTCTCTCTCTCTCTCTCCCTCCCTCCCTCCCTCCCTCCCTCTCTCTCGTGAAAGATATACACCAATTTACAATATAGTGTTACGAGTGGAAGACTTCTCAACAGGAATTCAAGCCACAGATCTACTTTAGAAGTTGGTGACTTGGCAAACAAGGGATACTGAGACATTCTAACTTTATTTAAGATGAGATGGTTGTGATGCATCTATCTAACTTAAGAAGCAGTATTCTGCATTGCTTTCATTGTACTTCAAAGTCTGCAGACTGCTACACAGTACATGTATTTGATTTGTGGATGGTTGTTAAAACGTTTCATATTTTTGTGGAGTTCTTACTACACAACACATATAGTGATTTTTTCTATTTTTCAAGGACATTTTCCCCATGTCCCTTCATCTGGGCATGAACTCAAACTTGCAATTTGCAGGCTGGCTTCCTGAGTCACATGTGTTTTTTGTATTTGTTTGTTTTTTTTCACTCTTTCCTTCTTATTGCTGCGGGGCTCAGCTCCCATATGGATCAAATCTGTCCACAGGTCCAGAACACGCTTTTAGAATAAAAAAGAAAGAAAGAAAGGCCTGTAAGTTCCAAAGCTGTTGGAATTCTCGTGGGATGACACAAAAAAAAAAAATCCCTTGCATGATGTCTTTTTTTTTTCATAACCATGGCAGCCATGTTGTGTTTGAAAGTTCTGGCACGTTGATTATTTGATTTCAGCATGCCCCCCTTTTTTGTTTTTATTTGTCAAAGCAAACCTGAAGGAACATATCGCAATGGTACTCAGTGTTCCGTCCTCCCATTCATTCATCATGACACAAGGCTCCTATCAAAAAAATGTGCATTTTAAAAATAGCTCATCTTACTCACTTTTTTGGAATCGATTACCCTAATTTTAATCATGCGAGCAGTCATTTGCGGTGCTGTGCAACTGTTCAGCACCGCAACGAAATCCATTTGTGAATTTCTTATGACACTATTGATCGAAGAAGAGGTCCATTTAAATTCAACAGTGAGCATTGCTGTTTTTAAAACACTCCATTTTTCATGCACATGCAGTACAAGACCCCCATCAAAAAAAAAATCTGGGTTTTTAATGTATTCAATAATGCTCAATTTTCAATATTGGGTGACATATGGTAGTACTCAGTAGCAGTGATGTGCAACTCTCATTTTGAGAGCTGCATGCTATACTTTTATGGTGTTATTAAGCTACAAAAAAGCCAAAGTGGAATTTAAACATTTTTTACTGTTTAAAAAAAAGCAGATTTTTGATACAAGTCTTGTATGCTTGTCATCAGACTGAATTGTCATTGCTCATCCTCCAAAATGAAAATGGGCCCTAAAATTGAATTTACAGGTCATTAGTGTCTCATTTCCTCACATCCTTCCTCTCCTTTTTGGTGGGGTGGGGGGGGGGGGGGATCAATTTAAATCTCTGGGGAATTTCACTCAAAACTATCTGCATATCGTGTAGCACTAGCACCTCGTTGTGAATCACAATGTCATGTCATCCAAAAACCTCATTCCCCTTTAGATGGGTCACCTATACGGGTGGGCATTTCAACCAATTTTTCAAATTAAATTGAGTAAAACCAGAAGAGAATAATAATCAAAATAATATTTGAAAAATGTAAATCTTTAAAATAAAATTGAAAAAAGGAACCCCCACCCCCCCAAAAAAATGTTCTATCAACACTGTTATCATACCAACAATGCTAAACGCCTCCACAATGGATTAGCTCTCCCGATCTATACTATTATTATCTTGGCTATTTCTATTAATATGAAGCACAATTTGTGTATTTTTTGGAAAACACACCAAAAAAGATTTTTTTAAAATGACATTTAATGTATCTTCATGCCCACCCTTAGCGGCCATCTGTCATTGTGTCCTTGTTCGAAGCACCAATATTCTGTGTTAGCATGAGAGTCACATTCCCTCCAAGTGTATTGTTCTTCGCATTTTTTGTCAGCATTTATGCTAATGCTGGATCATCTCTCCTCTTGCAAGCCTCCATAGTGACTGTCATCCACTTTGTCAACTCTGTGCTTGACACGGTGGAAGGAGAAGGTACCATTTTTCTCTTTGTTGCTGTTGTCCTGTGCCTAGCAGAGTCGCCATTTTCTTAGCTAGCTCGCTAACACGTACAATAAAAATAAAAGAAAAACTCAAGCACTCATTAGGAAAATGGAAACACTGCCAAATTAGCCCTTCACGTGTTTTGTCGCCTTCACATAAACTCCTGTTTTGTCAGCTTGGTTAGCATCCATTTTTTTAACGTGTTTTCTCTTTCTCCTCCTCCTCCTCCTCTTCTTCCTGGATTCTTAATAAAGAGTCTTTTATGGCTCGTGAGCTCAAGAACACAAGAGGTGACTTTTTCTTTGGTGTTTGTGTTTTTGTGGGTGTGACGCTGCTAATCACTAACCCGACTCTAACACCGAGAGCTTGTTATGCTTGTTTTATTCTGGTGTGGAAGCCAAAGTGTGATGTCAAGATTTATTAGCCCTTCCCCGCGCATGATTTTGTTATCTTCAAAGAATTCTGTTTGGTAACTAATTATTTGTTGGTTTGTTTGTTTTTTCGCCGCTAAACTTTACAGTTCGAGTCACTACAAAAAAAAAAAAACAACTTGAAATGCGAGCTAGGCCGTTGGCGGGATAGCAGTACTATCAGTTAAGAAACTAGAATACCATCAAAATAGCATGGAAAAGAAAAAATTATGAACATGGGACATTGTTTAATGTAAAAAAAAAAAAATTTGAAATTGTTTTCAAAAATTTTTCAAAAAAAACACGCTTTGTCGGAAACTAGCTTGTTTTTTGTTTGTTTTTGTGCTGTATGATGAAATGTCATCACAGTTGCACTCGGGATGTCATCAAGTATTATTAATACACAAGTCAATTTGTGGTTGCATGTTTTCCAAAGTGAGCAAAAAGTAAACAAAACAAAGTCACAAACCCAATGCTTTTTTTTTTTTTTTTTTTTTCGTTGTTTGCAACGTTTCCACCACTGGGGCAGTAGTTCACTTTCAAAACTAAACAGCTGGATGTGCCCAAATCGAAAGCACGCTGGTACATCGATGTCATTTATTCTGCACATTTGTAACTTCTGACAATAGAAATGTAAAAATAAAACCTAGCGCACAAAGGAAAAAAAAACAAAAAGCAATCTTTTTTTTTTTCCTCCTCACAAACTGATGTCATTTTAAAAAACTGTTCCAAAATCTCCCCATGTGAACCAATCATCAGACAGCAAGATGCCAGAAGGTATTTTTGCACTGTTGCTACCAATGCAAAAAGAACTGTCCGAATCATCGGAAACGTTAGGAATAATTCATGACAATAAAAAACACAAATACAAATGTGAACCAAAATTATTTTAATTGTAGTTTGTCATTCGATATTTTTTTTAAAAAAGTGCAAACTGTGCGAATTACAGAATTATCTGAAACTTGTTTTTTTTCTTTCTTTGTGTGGTGTGACCCGATGTCGTTCTACTCGGGATGTCGTCAAGTATTCATCAACAAGTGGTGTGCGTTTGCATGCTTTTCAACCTGAATGAAAAGTTAGCATCAGAACTTTCACGCAAGTGTTTTTTTTTTTCCCCCATCCCATACAGGATACCACTGGGACACGTCCGACTGGATGCCGAGTGTCCAGCTCCCGGGAATCAAGGAGTTCCCGCAGTACGAGCTGGTGGAGTCACCTCCCACCACTTTGTACAGCGACCCGAGCGCCATGGACACCGACTACTACCCGGGCGGCTACGACATCGAAAGCGACTTCCCGCCGCCGCCCGATGACTTCCCGTCTGGGGACGAGCTGCCACCGCCGCCGCCCGAGTACGGCGACACGCTGCGGTCCGCCACCACCGACGGGATCCGCCGCCGTCCCGCCCTGCCGGAACTGTACAGCCTGGGCCAGTACTTGGCCCCGCGGGGCGACGGCGACTCCGCCCCGCCGTCCTCCACCGCGGCCACCGCCGACTTCCCTCCGGGTCGGGACTTTGACGACATGTCGCTGTCGCTGTACGCGTCCACCGCCTCCTGCTCGGACATGTCGGCTTGCTGCGAGGAGTCCGAGGCCATGATCAGCGACTACGAGAGCGGTGACGACAGCCATTTTGACTGTCTGTCCATCCCGCCGCTGGGCTCCCAACAGCACACTGAAGTCTGACACTGGATCCCCACAAAAAGTGCCTGAAGCCACCCCGCGAGCTCTCGTGTTTTTTGTTGTTGTTGTTGTTTGTTTGTTTTTTTTGCTGGTACGCCTGGTACGATCTGAGTCCACAAGGGGATGTTTGGACCGATGCATACTTGCCAATCTTTGCAGATTTTACTGCGCCACATTTCTCTTGTTAAAAGATTGCCAAAAGTTTCGCTGTATTCGCTCGCTACTTGAGACCGGATGTTTGCAATTTACAACCCTGCCGTATTCTATGACTTACGACAAGTTTCACATTCCTCCTGATGGTTGCGATTGCAAAAAAATAATAATGATAATAATAATATGCAAACGGAATTTGGGACTACTTGCGAGCTTCTGTAACCCTCCGTTTTTTCTTTTTCCAGGAAAACAGATATTATCGCTAAATTGAAGTTTTGCAAACAGCCTGTGAGTTAATACCCGCAACATTCAGGAACATTCCGTCACCCTTCCGATTTGACCACATATTCCGCATTTTCCATTTTTCCGGTATTTTTTTGCGCTGCCAAAAGTTTGCAATTTCACCCGAGACAGGTTTAGTTTAGCGAATTTAGACCAGGGGTGTCAAGCTCATTTTTGTTGTGGGCCATAATCATAGTTACGATTTCCCTGCCTGTGACCCCATGAAGAATTATGATGCGCGTCGTTTCTACATGATATACACAACAAATTCATGGCTAGCTAATTTTGAAATTAGAAGCCAGTAAATAGTTGTCTCTTCAACTGTTTTGCCATTTATTGTGTTCTTAAAAGTGACGTTTTTTTGGTTTTTGTTTTTCAACGGGGAAAATTGGCAAGTATGGTTTGCAAGTGGATAAAAAATAAGACTTAAGACCCGACTCACAGGAAGTGTAGTGTCCGTTTCAACAGTCGGAGAGGGAATGAAAAAGAAAACGAGAATAATAAAGAGAAATCCGCAACTGTTTCTATAAATAGAACATTTTCTACAAGTGGTGATTTTCAGTGTAAATGTCATTGTACAGTTTTGATTTCAAAGTAGGTTTTGTAGATATTCAGTGCTTTTATTTTGAAGAAACGGTGTGACATGATCGGGCTTACTGTACTAACGTTCATCGGAGAAAAAAAAGTTTTGTTAAAAGTACAAAAACGGGGTCTTCGGTGAACGACTGCATTAGTCATTATTTTCTTTTTTTGTTTTTGTTTTTTATGTTTGTACATGTTGACGTTGGAACCTCTTTTATTTTTCCATCAAGGAAACGGTACCCGATGATATTTATGGTCGTCATGGATACAGCCCATGTTTGTGTATATGTGTGCAAGTGTGTGCGTGAGCGACGCATCGGTCTTGTTTAGGTTTTTATTGAATTACTGCCACCAGCTCACGCTTTCCTACTGGCAATAAATTATTCCTAAAAAATAGATTTTGCCGTTTGTGTCTTTTTTATGTACATATATATTTTTTGGTGTGTGACTATTTCTGTCTTAAAAACAATGCCTGTACATATTATCAATAGTATATAAACGGAGATAAATCTTGTCTTATTTTAACACGTGTTTTTATATTTCTGGATATTTCAAAGTGTAAGCCTTTGTACTCAAATATTTTTAAGTCAAAAAATTTGAAATATTTTCTTTAAATATTTAGTTTAACATTTTGAAATAATCACAATAAATCAAAGCTTTCCAATCTATTTTTTTCCATTCTCGATCATACCTCAAAATGTATTTTTAATTTATGGTTTGGTTCCCTTCGGAGGTGACATGGAGTGTGGTGGAGGCGTGATGACACGGTGACCTCCAAAGTTGAGAATTTAAAACTAAAATGCATTTGTATTCATGAGATGCGATGTTAATGGCTTCGTCATAGCTTCTGGGTCATTCATGAAAACACCGATGAAGCATTTGTTAAGCAAAATCTTGAAAAGGGCCTCCTGTCGAGGGGTCACTGGTTCATACGCTGATTTTATTATTTAAGGTCTTCATGTTAAATAACCACTTCATCTCAGTGGCTGTAAGAATGTAGTACTGCATCTAAACCACACGATGGCGACACAAGACACGGTATAAAAAGCTCATCGTAGACTGCAGGGAAAGAAATGAATAGTTATATATGGGTCTCTCTCTCTCTCTCTCTCTCTCTCTCTCTCTCTCTCTCTCTCTCCCCCTCCCTCCCTCTCTCTCTAGTGTGTGTGTGTGTGTGTGTGTGTGTGTGTGTGTGTGTGTGTGTGTGTGTGATATTTCTCTCCCCCCCCCCCCCATAGGAAAAGCTTAACGTCGCTTGATGTCCAAAAGCTATGATCAATCTGCACCCAAGTTTGTATGCTTGTGTCCACTTCAACCGCTCTTCGCAAGCTCACTGCAGAAGCTATGAAGTGAACTCACTTAATGATGAAAATGTTTAACTTCCGTAAAGTCCAAAGTATTGGGATCATTGTTCAAATAACCTCAGAAGAGGAAGTGGTAAGTAAGTACAGATGTCCACATATATTTTGCGTTGACTGATCGCGGTTTGCTGACATTAAGTTTCTTCTCTGTAGTGAGCATCAATAAAGGAAAAGGCTTAACATCCATTACATCCAAAATTGCGCCAATGGAGAGGAGAAAGCTGAACGTACATAAAATCCAAAATATTGGGGAAATTGGGCCGATCGTTTTGATATCCTCAGAGATTTACGTGGGCCTAAGGAGAGATGTCTTCAAATGTTTGCGGTGATGACTGATCACACTTTTCAGGCATTACCGGTAAGCTTTTTTTGCATTTCAATCAAGCATTTTAGTCACAGTCTGAAGTGCTTTTTTTTCACTTTTGTGTTCATTCCCCTCGGGAAATAGTGCTCCAAAAATGTAAACAAATCAAGTTTGTGAGTTCGACCAGGATTAAAGTGGTTTTCTGTAGCCATTTTACAGAGCTGGGAGAATTGAATGAGACACAGAATGTGGACAACGTCCCATGATGTTGTGTTGACTGTTTTCATGAAAGAGAAGGAAAAAAAACTTGAATGAAGAAGGCGCCATCGTAGAAAACATGAATGGCTGAGCGCCATGAATGAAGCCTGTAGTACCTCCACTCGGGCTTAGGGTGGGAGTATTCGGCCCGCAAATCCCACCGCACCCCTTCACCCCTCCCCCGCTACTCACCCACCAGCCCCACAGTTGGAGAACCCCAACGTGGTGCTTCTGGCTTGTGGAAGTTGTCACACACAACACGCGTGGACTCCGGAGAGGAGAGACGCGCCGCGTGGGGCGAGGTATGAATTAGAACAATAGGGGATGGTGCAGGGAGGAAACACAAGTCGACTCGCCGTCACTCAAGCCGGGAAAGGGCGAGGAAGGAGACGGTGGAGGATGAGGACCGGAGCCGCGCCAGGCGACCGAGTCCCGGCGTTGGCGGCGGGGTCCCGCCGATAGCGCGCCGAGTCCCCCGCCGGCCGGCCCCCATCGGCACGGTCGCTCACTTACGGGACAATCAAGTTCGTCCTCCCTGTACAATGGTCACAAATGGGTCTGAGCTGAACAGCACCGCGCCGGACCCCGACGACGACGACACCGCCGCCGTTCTCAACCGCCCGCCGTGGGTCACCACAACTTTGGGCTGCTTCCTCATCTTCACCATCGTGGTGGACATCCTGGGCAACCTGCTGGTCATCTTCTCCGTCTATCGGAACAAAAAGCTCCGGAACGCAGGTGAGGCGCATTCCGGAACACCGCGCGCAATTTGGAGCGAAACACAAAAACTTTGTTCCAGTCATTTTATGACTTTTTTTTTATGAATCGGTTCGTTTGCAGGAAAGTGACGACTCTTGACTCGCCGTCGCTTTCGTTTGAGATCCAATTAAGGATTGTTGGGTTAAAGGCTTCACAAATGTTCCCTTCAATTTGACTAATCACCAAGTAAATTGAGCGTAAGCCGAAAGGCATAATTTTTCCAATTCATTTTTGAATGTTCTCGAAAGACAGGAAAAAAACGAAAGTGCATTGCTGCCAATGGGGGGGATCAACATCAAGTGAGCACGTGATAAGTCTAATGTTTAAACGTGATACAGTTCTTCATTTCACGTGATAGATTTCACGTTTGGCAAGATGACCTCCATTTTATTGTGATAAATTTGTCCTTTTAATGTGATCATTTTTATGTTCAAACGTGATAAGTTTGACTTCCGGTTCAGGTCAATGGCACAGTCCTTTTTGTGTCTTATAAATTAAAATTGGTAGTGTGACTATGCTGCTCTTTTATAATTCTGTAAAAATAAATAAATAAATATAAAAGAAAGGCCATGTGTTTGAAAACATTTCCGATTTGAAAAGACCTATTGACCTGAACGCCGTTGCGGTGAGCAGTTACTTGTTGTGATTTGTTGCGATTTATCGCAAGCTGATCTCATAACGTTCTTTGCCAGTAAGAGAGTCGTCAAAGCTAGCGATTCTACCGTTGTGTTTTATTGTCTTTGTTATTTCCACCCCCGCTTCACTCGTCACCTTCCAATTGGAGACGTCACTGTTCTGTATATTTGGCCTTTTTGTCGCGAGCGTTTCGCGTGGACTGGCCGAAGCCTACTTTTTGAAGCGGAGATAATTTCGCTGACCCCAAAGCGAGCGAGCGAGCGAGCGCACAGGGCCAAGCAAAGAGCAACAACTGAAGCAATTATTGGCGGTCTGAAGCCAAAGGGGAAGCCCGCCGCATCCAGGCATTAACTGCATCCGGGCATTAATGCTCCCCGTGACGTTCGCCACCCGCCCGGACAGATCTGAGCTTGGGGGTCTGATCTAATGACGTTGTTCCACATTCGCCGTCATATTTCTGAGGGACTGAATTGTCTTCTGAGTTGGTTTTGAGTGTTCAGTGAAATATTGGTGGCCCCCAGCAACTGTTCTTTGATGGAATTTAGTGCGTCGTCAGCTTGAAATGACAGAAAAGGACGTTTTCCACATCTACGGCAACTAAGTCGTGACAGTTTTCTTTGGGAAGATTTGCCCTGCACCATTCATCGTTGAATGGCTAATTCGGCCATGCGACTTGGTCATCAAGTTTCTGCCCAAAAACTTTGCTCTTTGGTTGTCTCAGTTGTTATAGATTGGTGTCCAAATTTTCTCTTTGGTTATTTAGCTACGTTCTCACGGAGAAGACCCGCTAGCTACACACTGAGATGAAGGCAGTTAGTGGTTATTTTGTGAGTGTTCTTTTCAAAAGTCTATGGAGTCAGAATGCTAAAGTTAACAAAAGAAAAATGTCACACTGATTCAATTGAAATTTTGAAAACACAATTTGCAATTTTTTTGCTTTGAATCCTGAGAACAGTCTATCATGTGTCCACAGTGTGTCGATCTTCTTCGAGTCCACATTGCTGCCCTCCTGGTCTCACCGTGAAACAATCATCCCGTGCTCTTTTTTGCGTTAGTACTGCAGCACGGCGATGTATGCGTTTGTCAGCATTGAGTCTTAACCCAGCATGAAGGCATTGAAGTGTGCCGCAAGGGGGAAGATTGGCGGGGGGATACAAGAGGTACATAGAGGGAATGGCCTCTTTGAAGTCGTACCATTAATTACGGCTAATTACATGCAAGGGGGTCATAAATGCAGCCGCCTCCTCCGCCAGAGTTCAGCGACGCACGCAGTTAACTTGGCAATAATGAAATGCCCCAGCATGGAAAAGTTCCATCTCTCTCCAGCAAGCGATTGAGTAATTGTTTAATCGTGTTTCGCGGCGGCCGCCGTCCCGGGATGCCGTGCCTCCGAGGTGCCGCTCTCCAATCCCAGATCGGGTGGGCAACACGCGTGCCTAACCGACGGCGAGCCCAGTTTTTTTTTTTTTTTGTCTGTTTGGGAATGGGGATTTGGATGCAAATTGGCAGACGGATAGATTGACATAGTTTTCAGCCACGCTTGCGTCACAGGTTGTTTCAGTGGATCCGCGGTGTCTTAAAGGAAAGAATAAGCGGTGCATTGATCTCCTTTCCATTGCAGGTGAGGCGAGTCGGACCAATTGTGTTTGGTGGAAAATTCCAACAGAGACAGATACAAGTATTTATTCATTTATTTATTTATTTAGATGTACATCTTCTTCATGCTTGAAACCGATTTACACATCTTAAAGTATACTTTACTCAACAAACAAGCATACCTTAGTCCAGACATGGGCAAACTACGGCCCGCGGGCCGGATCCGGCCCGTTGGTCTTTTTCATCCGGCCCGCCGAAGGTTGGTACAGTACACAATTATGGTTCGATGTAAATTATTGCATTAATTTCATTTGGACTTGTAATACAGGCATTTAAACGCCAGGTGGCGCAGTTACTTGAAGTCGCAGAGCACAGGGAGGGAGGGGGAGACGATACGGAAGCCCGCAGTAGCACTAAATCAAGTAAGTCCCGCTCGATACGACGAAATAGATGTATCCGCACCGCTATTTTCTGTCATTGGATCCAAAACGGCGACATGCAAGCGACTCTTTGTTGCAGTGAGTTTTCCTGGAATTGCGAAATTTTTACATCCTATATTAGAGCATGGCATCCAAACAAAGAGGAGCGGTAATGGCCGCGGAAGAGAAAATGAAGTGTATCTCATTAAACGAAGCGGGTTACGAAGTACGAAACATTCAGGAGACGCTTGGAGTCTGGAAGACTCAAATCTACGAGACTTTGAAAAACGAGGAAGCGATTCTTGCTCAGTCCGATTCGGGCTATTTCCATGCTCAGAGTGAATTGCTTGCGGCTCGACGGACAGTCCAGTAAATGAACGTTTCCTGAAATGGCTTGACTGTTATCGTGCTAAAAACTTTCCGCAAACTGGACTGCTAATAAGAGAGAAAGCGAGTTCCATAACGCTAACTATGGGCATTGAAGACTTCGAAGCGTCCTGCGGCTGGCTTCAAAAGTTCGAAGCACGACATCAGCTGAGCAACGCTGTCTTGTGTGGTGATCGAGGGGAGGTCGAGTTCGAGACAGTGAGTGAGTGGAAAGAAAGCCACCAGGTCTTTTACTCGTCTCATTTTGGAGCAAATAGTCCTACCTTTGTTATATTTTCTCATATACTGTACCTGTACTGTATGCCGCAGTTTTTGGGCAATATATTGTTGCTCTTTGTTGCTTGTGTTGTCACCAATGTTTGTTGTTAACATACCGTACTTGGACGTTCATACAGGACATATACGTTGTCTCACTGTTCTCATGAAAAAAGTATGGTAATACTTGAATGCTTTTGTTCTGTTGATGTTTGGTATGGACTGTCAACATATACGTTTTTTTATATGTACCATATCTTGTGCTGACCCGGCCCACCTGTCAAATTTAGAAATCAATGTGGCCCCCGAGCTAAAAAGTTTGCCCACCCCTGCCTTAGTCCCTGTTCTCACCCTGTTCAGCCTAACGTATCACATCACTATGAGGAAATGTAAAGAAGACTTGCTCACACACTTTGCTAAACGAGAGGCCAAGCGCGCTTGCTTCAAGTTGTTGACTTGGCACTTCCAGTTGAAGTTTGCTGTTTAAGTGACCCATAAACCAAAAAAAATTCAACATTGTACAAAAAGTACTCACTCTTTGAGTGCTTACCGCTACCTTGAGTACTTTTGATGAATAAAAATTTCATTGAAAAATGTGACCGAGCAGGTGACAATTCGCCAATCTGATCTGATGTGCCACCGGACATCGCCAACTACTGCCAAGGAGGACTTAATGTCAGATTTTTTTTTCGCTTTAAGTATCGGTGGCTGGTATAATCACCCTCCACGAGTACCCAGTGCCTTAATATAAGGCCATATTGGCCCGATACCGAAGCCTGGTATCTGTAATTGCCCATCGCGAAAATTAAAACTTTATATTGAACCACCAAAATGCTCAACCAAACTATATCATTTGAAAGGTGTGCTAGCTTAATGCTAACACAGAGTGCAAAACGCCATTAGATGACTCCCATAAATTAGCATCAATGTTAGATGAATTCTAAGCTTTCAAACAACTGCTCCTTATGTTATGTAACACAGCCTCAAACACAACAAGAGAGAATTTAACACTGTGTATTTAAACACCAAAATGTTCTACATGAACATCCCGAACCAAAATTCTGATGGGCACGGTACAATTGTAAGCTTTCTGTCTCTTATTGAATACTTTTGTGGGTGCCTTCCCCAGCTACCTTATTAGGCAGGGCCAGGGGCCGACTGGCTAACTATTGCCGGAACATACTAATACTCTGAAACTATTGCTACACGGGTAAGCTTTTGCAAAATGAAATATATTCTCAGATGGGTTCTCTTCCTGGTCTAATACTGCCAATAGTATGCGTCACATCATTGTGCAGACACTTTCAAAAAAGGAGAAAAAAAAAACACGTAATTAGAGAGCCTTTTCTGTCACAGTTAGCAGACAGAGATAGCATCCAAATGACTGACACCTGCGTTAATGTCACCAATCTTCACACGACATTCCCGGAAATAGGCTCAGCCTCTGCGTCTTTTGTAGATTTTTCTACTCCCGTTTACGCTCGGATCGGTGAAGTCCTTATCTGCTGCCTGACAGGTACATTGGAGGCGATTTAGCGGCGTGGAAACAAACTGCCGGCCAGCTGTAACCGCTCCACAATGGCAAAACATCTCATTCAGACGAACTGTTCTCATTTTGAGCGCAACCACCGCCGTCGGGCTGGACTTCAAGAAATGTTGCGAGGCTTCAAATCTTTCCTGGCTGTT